TGGAGATATCATACACGGATATAGTGTCATGACTGAGAATATGTGTACAATTAAGGCAAATAGCTCAAAATAGCAGGAATAGACCTACCATGTCTCAACCAATAAGTACATAGCCTAGACATGATTTATAACATGAATCATAGCTCAAATAATCAATCAAGTAAAGAAAACACAGATATAATGAGGCATGATAGCAAACAAATCCTATGATAGTCTAGAATCTACCCAGACTATGAATACATTGGTGCACGCACAAACGCTCGTCACCTAGCATGTGTTTCACCCCCAAAACATCTCAAATATATTATCCTTGGGGATAATTACCCTCAAATCAAAATTTAAATATGTTACTTACCTCAAAGCACGAATCAATACTCCAAAAAGCCCTTCGCACGCGAATCGGCCTTCGAACAACTCGAATCTAGTCACAAACAACCTAATATCATCAAATAATGCCATAGGAAACAATCCCAAACAATAATTCTTTGATCTTTATCAAAATCAAAAATTCAACCCCAGACTTGCACCTTAGAACTCGACAAAATTCACAAATTTTGAACACCCATTCAAATGCGAGTCCAACCATACCAATTTTATCCAGATCCGAGCTCAAATCGACCTTCGAATCATCAAATTTCATCTAAAAAAATTTTCCACAAAAATCCCCAATTTTTTCACTTAATTTCACCAATTAAATGCTAAAAACAACTATAGTATCTTAGAATATAACAAATTCGAGTAAAAAATACTTACCCCAATCCAAATCATGAAATCCCCTCCAAATCACCCAAAATCGAGCTATTTAACTACAAATGTGATATAATAACCAAACCCATCGAAATGAGATGTTAAATAGTCTGCCCATCCCCACCTCATTTGCCAACAGCGCCGCAAAAAATCTGTTTTCTCTCCGTACAGGGCGATTTTTCGCTACAGTGCCTGTTCCAACAAAAATGGACGGTTCTCGCTGTCCACCGGTGAAAATCCACCGAACCAGTCGCCAAAGAAGCGCCTTAACAAGGCGCACAACCCCCCCCAAAGCAGATTATCCAAACAATTCCCCGGCTACTACGAATCAAAGAAAGGGTGTGGCGATCACTGTAGCACGCAGTCGCCTGGGAGCTCCAAAAAATTCCCTCATCAATTCTGGATCAAATATAGAAATTGTAAATCGTGGAGATTGTTCTCCACACCAAGGCGCATCTCCTCACCAAAATTCAGGTGATTCCACCGTGGGAATCACCAACAACGATCACTTGCAAATCGCCGGCGACACAGAGGTGGCCGAAAATGGAGTTCCTGCTGTTCAAAATAAAAAAGAAAGGTACCAAAATGCTCATCTTGATGAGGAGAACATGTTAGAATCACCAATTTCACATGGGTATCAACCCATTGCTCCAATTTGCAATCCTCCATCACAGGCAGTCTGGACTCTCCAAGTGTTCGACGAAATGACCCCCTCTTCTCTGGGCCAATTTGTCCACAACAATCAATTGGAAATGCTTTAACATCATCTAAGTAACAGGTACACAAAGTTTTAAGTCAAGTTAACAAGTCAATTGATCACCATGATCAATTGACAAACCAGAACTTCACCAGTTGGTCGGCCATGGTGTTCCGGTGAACCAATTGCTTCAAAACCAATGCCAAACGGTTCCTGCTCATCAGGAGAGTGTTTCCCACCCTCCAAATCAAATTTTCATCAAGCCAATCTGCTCGAATATTCAAAAAGGTGATTCTGTAGCACTAACTTCCACAGGTGTTCGACAAAATGCCAAGGCAACCTTTGATGCTCAAATGGGAGTTCAAACTGCGGTACAAGCATCACAAGAGCATCAGGAAGTTACTCGTCAAAAGAATTCACAAGACCTAACCCAAAAAATCAATGGCCAACCATTGGTTACTTCATCAGAATTGCAGGCAGCAGGCATTGGTGGATCAGTGTTACAAGGGACTCAAATGGCCTTGAAAACTACTCCTCAAGCTCCTGTAAATGGTAATGAAGGTACTGGAACAGGTGTTGCTTCAGAAACAATTCAAAATGTCAATTGTCCCACCCCAGTTGTTGTCCCCTCATCTGTGAAGCAGGCTATCAAAACTGAGGATCAAGCCACCCAAAAGCTTAAGAACCAAACCAACCTAAATCCCATCCCTAATGCCAATGCCCCGGTAAATATTTCCTCCAACTTTGATAGACCAAACAACTTCAAGAAAATCCAGAAACCCCCTGCAAAAAATAGCTCACCAGCTAGCCAGTCTAGCAAACAGAATACACCAGTTATCAATCCCACCCCACAAGTGAGTAAACCTTCCAATAAAAATAAACCAGTTGTCAGTACACCACCACCACCTCCTACTGTCACTCACTCTTATGTCACAAGGCTCAGATCTGGGCATGAGGTTGAGATTGAACCCATAACATTTACCCCTCCAAAGATAACTACCAAACAAGGCCAACCTGCAGTAATATTCAAAAGGGATGACTACATGGTGAGATTTGCTAACAGGTGCAAATTCACAGTAGTAGGCAAGTTCTCCAATACAATGCCTAGAATGGAAGTCACTAGAAGAAGCTTCATTGCCAAACTGAGCTTAGAGGTGCAGTCAAGATAGCTCCTTTCAATATTAGGACTGTGTACATTGACCTGGATAATGAGTATGATCATTCCACTATATGGGCCAAACAATATATGTACATCCAAGGTCAAATGATGATATTGGAAGCATGGTCTCTTGCATTCAAGCCAAATGAAGATTCACCCATTGTGCCAATATGGGTGGTTATCCTGGAGTTACCATGGCACTTGTATTACATGGAAATACTTACACCATTACTGTCACCTATTGGTACTTTATCTGGATTTGGCTTCCTTTCAGAAAACAAGGGGAAGTGTCGCCAAGGTAAAGATTCAAGTTGACCTTACCAAAGAAAGACTTCATCATGTTAGGCTTAGCTATGATGAGGATCAAGATGAGAATGGTGATGGAGAATGGCTGGAGGTCCAATATGATAATGTGCTTGCCTACTGTAGTCACTGCAGGCATTTGGGCCATTCTCAATACACTTGTGAAATCAGATTGAAAGAAGAAGAAAAAGGAGGAAGAGGCTGTTGAAACAAGTGATTCTCGTGCCACCAATCAAAAGAAGTCCAAAGATGAAGCAGGAACAAGCAAGAACCAAAAGAAGGAACAAGGGGGAATACCAAAATCAGATGCACAAGATCAAAGGAAAAACCATATGACAGCAGAACAGCAAAAGGTAGCAGAACATCACAGTGTTGTAGCTGAGATCACAGAAGAGGAATGGCAGACTCAAAAGAAAAAGAACTTTAAAGGTACCACCCAAAGCAAGAGACAGCAACAAGTTTATATGCCAAAACAACCAAATACTCAACAGCAGCAGGCCATACCAAATGAAACTGAACAACAGGTCACACAGTCATCACAACCACCAGGTATGCCTCCTATCAATCCTCCAACTCAACTGGAGAGGAGTGTAGATTCTGGAGCTCAGAATCATCCCATTCCCCTGATTTCCCCCCCCCCCCCCGGATGTTTCTTACTCTGGTGTAGCTAAAGGAGAAAAGGAGAATTGTCAGGAGAAACCTATAGATATACAAGAAGGGGTACCAAATGGGGAAGAGTTTCCTCATGTTTTGCATGAGTGTGCTTGAATGACCATAGGCTTGATCATTCAACCCTGCTACCCCAGTCTCCAATTCAGGCAAACAAAAAGCCCAGAATTCTGAAAATGTGATTGTTGAGGAGGATTCAGAGTCCTTCAGCTCTGAAGAAGATCACTCTGCACAAATGAAAGCCCTGCTCAAAGGAAAAGCCAAAGTTGCAGCTGATTTTCAAGTCCAGTCTCAGAAAAAAAAACCCAGTCAGAAAAAGAGGAAAGCTATGAGGACAAAAATGCAGGAATCGGTATAAATGAACCACCTGATGATACCCAGTTTTCGAGCCCTACAATCCAGCAAAGATTCAAGCCTGACCCTAAAGCAACAGTGGAATCCCCTGTTTACAGGAACTCAGTAATAGTAAATCCTTCCCTTTCCCAACCTTTGTTATCCAATAAAGAACCAACCTCAGATGGGAATGAATCAGATCTACCCACCAATGATAAGAACCTCACATCCAAAATACACAAAGCCACTTCTGTTCTTACCAGCACCCACAGAAAAAACCACTTGCATCCTTTTAGAAATGGTTCTAGATGAATGTCCTCTCAACAGATATACTCCACAGCAAGATGAGTACAGACCAATTGAATCTGAGGATGACATAATTGGGGAACAAGATGTTTACAATGATTCTAGTGAAGAAGATCTTGAAAAGGAACAACACTATGAACTCTTGATTGTTGTAGTGAATGGAAATTCAAACCAGGAAAATGTTGATCCTGCAACACTTTCATCCAGAAAGAGTCCCTCACCAAGGATAACCAGGTGCAGAGCTGCTAGAAGTAGAAGTAGCAGTGTCCCACCAAAACACAACCTAAAATCCTCCTTCCAATGATTAGTACAATCATTTGGAATGCAAGAGGCGGTAGGACCTCTGAAGCTATTGAAAGGCTCAAAATCCTGAAACATATCCACAAGCTTTCCTTCATTGCTATCCTGGAACCTTTCCTTTACAACTCTCATATTAACCTCTTCAAACTCCAACTTTCCATGCATCATGCTGCCTCCAATGTTAATGACAAAATCTAGGTGATTTGGGACAAAGAATTCACTGCATCAGGTGTGGAACAGTATGAACAACAACTGACCCTACAAATGAGACATGTTGAAAAATGACAACATATTCTACATCACAGTAGTCTATGCCAAATGCAAGCCAGCATTGAGAAGACCACTGTAGGATGCTCTTAGACTAAAATCTGTCAGCTATGACAATCCCTGGTGTGTGATTTGTGATTTCAATGTAATTGCTTCCGTGGAGAAAAAGATAGGGACATTCCCTATCAAATGAGCAAAAGTATAGATTTCCTACGCATGATGGAGGACTGTGGTTTGGTGGACTTAGGTTTCTACGGTCCTAAATGCACCTGGTCCAATGGTAGAGGGCAGTGTTCTATTGTATGGAAGAGGCTAGACAGAGGCCTGGTTAATGATCAATTGCTAGCTACTTTCCCTACTACTACTGTCTCTCACCTAGCTTCAGCTGGTTCAGATCACACCCCCCTCCTAATGGAAATCAATGTGAGGAATGAAAATGGCAAGAAGTATTTCAGATTCCTGAATTGTTGGGTTGACAATGTCAAGTTCAAACCTTTTGTTCAAGAGATCTGGGACAAAGATGTGAATGGAGAAGCAATGTGGATATTCTATCAGAAGCTTAAGGCACTTGCTAATGGTCTGAGCAGGTTGTCAAGATAGGAATATGGTGATATCTTCCAAAAATCAAAAGATTATGAACAACAAGTTAAGGCAGTAGAGATGACTTGGGCTGAGACTAATGAAGAATCTGACAGAGCAGCTCTTCATGAAATTAAAGCCCAGTACATCAAATATATGAAGTTGAAGGAGAGCATTCTAAAGCAGAAAACTCAATTGCAATGGTTCAAAGAAGGAGATGCCAACTCTAAATATTTCCATGGCTTAATCAGAGGCAGAAGAAGAAAGCTATATATTCACAAGATCAAGGATGAAGAAGGAGAATGGATCCAAGGTGATGAGGCTATTGGTAATGCTGCATGTGATTACGACCAAAGCCTTCTCTCTAATCCGGTAGGAACCATTAAAGAGGATCTGCTCTCTTGCATTCCTTTAATGATCACTCAGGATGATAATGACATCCTTTTAGCAGATCCTACCATGTTTGAACTCAAAGAGGTTGTCTTCTCCATGAACCCCACCAGTGTTGTAGGGCCAGATGGCTTCAATGGCAAGTTCTACCAATCTTCTGGGACATCATCAAGCTAACATGTTGAATGTTGTCCTAGATTTCTTTGGAGGATGTAGCATGCCAAAGTATATGACCAGTGCATGTCTAGTGCTATTGCCCAAGGTGGAATTTCCCAACTCTTTAACTGAATTTAGACCCATCAATCTAAGCAATTTCATCAACAAGATCATCTCCAAAGTCATTTGCTCTAGACTAGCTCCTATCCTCCCTAGAATAATATCAGCAAATCAGTTTGGCTTTGTTAAAGGTAGAAATATCTCAAAGAACATCATGCTGGCACAAGAGATAGTTCATGGTATCAAGAAGCCAAATGAAGGCTCTAATATTGTCATCAAGCTAGACATGGCCAAGGCTTATGACAGGGTGTCAAGGAGCTACACTTGCATAATGTTAAGAAGAATGGGCTTCTGTGAGATGGTTATTGACATGATTTGGAGGACCATGTCCAATAACTGGTACTCAGTCATAGTCAATGGCACAAGGTTTGGTTTCTTCCACTCCTCTAGAGGTCTAAAACAAGGAGATCCTCTAGACCCTTCCTTGTTCATCATAGGTGCTAAACTGCTCTCTAGAATGCTTAATACTCTCAACCACAGTCAATTTTTCAATGGGTTCTATATGGAAAGGATGGTCCACAAGTTAATCACCTTAGTTTTGTTGATGACATCATAATATTCTCATCTGGGGGCAGGTCTTCTCTGCAAAGGATCATGTGGATTCTAAACAACTATGAAAACACATCTGGTCAACAAATCAATAGGCACAAGAGTCACTTCATGTCATCTCCTCGTGCATTTCAGTCTACTATCAGAAGAGTCCAATCAATCACAGGTTTCACAAAGAAAACATCCCCACTAACCTACCTTGGATGTCCTCTGTACATTGGCAGGTTGAGAATATCTCACTTCAACAACCTTACATCCAAAATAGTTGGGAGAATTAGAGATCGACATGGCAAAATGCTTTCCCATGGGGGAAGGGCAACCTTGATAAAACATGTTCTTCAATCCATGACAATCCACCTGTTGTCAGCTATCTCTCCTCCTAAAACAGCCCAGAAACAAATAGAGAAGCTTGCAGTAAATTTTTTCTAGGCATGGAGAATAACAGAATGAAATACCACTAGGCTTCTTGGCAAAAACTGTGCTTTCCAGTTGAAAAAGGAGGTCTGGGCTTCAGAACTATTGCAGACATCTGCAAATCTATGGAATTCAAGCAGTGGTGGCACTTTAGAATTGTTCAATCTCTGTGGAGTAGTTTCCTAAAGGCCAAATATTGTCAGAGATCCAATCCCATCTCCAAAAAATGGGATTCTGGTCAATCTCAAGCATGGAAAAGAATGATGTTTAATAAGAAGGAAGCAGAAAAGAACATAAGGTGGAGGCTACACCCAGGTAATTGCAGTTTCTGGTGGGATAATTGGTTGGGCTCTGGGCCATTAGAACAACACAGAAATGAAGGTGGTAGACCTGGGAATGTCCGAGTCTGCAATTTTTGGGCTGAGGGTAACTAGAACATTCAAAAACTCAATGAGCTTGCCCCTGCTCTACTCATTCCTCAAATAATGCAAACTCCCATCTTCTTCAATATCAACACTCCTGATGAAGCCATTTGGACTCCTAATGCAAATGGTAAGTTCACATGTGCTTCTGCATGGGATGTGATCAGGAAAAGGAAACAACCTAACTTCTCCAATAAAATGACTTGGCATAAAAAGATCCCCTTCAAGTGGTCCTTTTGCCTGTGGAGAGCCCTCAGAAACAAGCTTCCTACTGATGATAGGGTTCTCTCCTTTAGTTCTCCTACTGTTACAAGGTGTGTATGCTGCTCTTTTCACACCAATGAAATAATGGATCATCTTTTTAGTGTGGGAAATTTTGCCAGAATTGTGTGGGGGAGATTCAGTGGTCCAGTTGGAGGGCAAACAGAACAAATTCCCCTCAGACTCCTCCTAATGAAATGGTGGTGCTTAAACAGCCATAATGAGGTTCAGAAACTCATTCTTCACATCCTTCCCATCATCATCAGCTAGAATCTGTGGAAGAACAGATGCAGTGCCAAATATGGGGGCAAAAATTCATCTCTTACCAGAGTCCTTTTCTCTATAAATTCTGACATCAATCTGTTGTTGAGAGCTAATTTCCCTGACATCAAGTGGCCCCTTAACTGGCATGAGTTATACACATTCATAGAAAGGCTTGAGCACCAGATTTTGTCTACTCAAGTTACTTGGGAAAAACCAAACAATGGCTTTGTGAAAATCAATAGTGATGGAAGTGCTCTTACAAATCTAGGAAAGAAGGAGCAGGAGTGATTATTAGAGACCACAAATGCTCTTTCATTCATGCCATAGTTGCTCCTTTAGGGGAAGGCACAAACAATTCTACATAAACTGAAGCAGCACTCTTAGGAATTCAATGGTGTTTGAACAATGGTTTCACCAAGGTTCATCTGGAAACTGATTCTGCACTCCTAATCCAGTGGTTGACCAATGGCAAAAACTTCCCTTAGTCTTTGAAAATGAAGTTGAAGCAACTCATAGCCCTCAGCAAACAATGTGAAAGATTCATGTGTTCTCATGTGTACAGAGAAGCCAATTGCCTGCTGATTCTCTGTCAAAGCTCAACCATGCAATCAATACAATGACCGATCACATCTCCACTTTTTCTCTTCCAAACATGATCAGGTGGCAGATTTTGCAAGACTATCTAGGCACCCCAGCTTTTAAACACAAGACAACCAGGAGGATTAAGACTCCTACACAACAAGCCACCAGTCCTTCCTCCTCTAATGGTCATGATTGATTCTACTTCAGTTGAGGGAGCAGTCACAGCAAAGCTTAGGGCTGAGCTATGAAGAAAGGTCACCAAATACATAACCAGACTCAGGGGGATAGGAACAGATCAGATACCTCCCGAACTAAACTTTTTCTTCTTTTTTGTAAGTGTTCCTTCCAGTTATTTGCATAATCCATTAGTATTCCTCCCTTGTGTGGTATTAGTAATTCTATTGCTCAATCTATTGGAGGAGTATCAATGGAATAATGCAAATATTGTGGGTCTTAATACCAATTCATGCACCACTATTTCCAATCTCACATCAACTCCATGCCAACCATTTCTGATCCCAAGCCACCAATGCAACACCTATAAAACACCCCCTGATGTTAGCTTCTCAAACCATCATTCATACACCAGTAAACACAAGAACCAGGGAATTGACTATGGTGCAAAAGCAGACAGAAAGGCCCAGTTTTCCTCTATTTTCTTCTCAGCAGGGGTCCCTTGCTTCACTATGCTTAAATACTTGGGGTGTTCTCAGGGATGCTGCAGTCTACAGATGCAGCAACATCATCTACAAATAAAACCAACACCCTATCACCATTCACCCATCATCTTCCCACAACTGAAGATGACCAAAAAACAGATCATCAAAAGCATCCACCTCCAACCAATAACTCACAGCTCTGTTCTCAGCTTCTGTACCTCCAAGTTCAGAAATTAAGATAGATGCAATAGCTTCATCCCTCCTTCTTTTTCCATAATCCAAAACTCCTCTATGCCTCCAGAACACACAAGAACCTAGGGGCAAAACCCTTTCTCCTAACATGTTTTCTTCTTTTTACAGGTACTGAAGTTAGTCACAGATCTTTGAGGAAATTGGCAGGAGTGGTATTAGCATCAGGGATGCTCAACCTCCTCTAGTTGCATCAATTTTCTTGGGCATGTAACACAGAATACCAACAGATCGAATAGCTCAAAATGCAACAGGCCATCAATTCTTCAAGAAAACCTGAAGTTAACCTTGGTCTTCAGTACTGTAGGGCACCATTTTCCTGCAGCTATGATTTGCCACCTTCTGCAAACAAAAACAACTACAGCAGTCCACACAAGAACCTGCAATCAGGTGCCAGGGAAAAAACAGTTGCAGCAATTACAGAAAATGCAGACCTTCCTGCAAATTCAGGATGCAGCTCCATGTTGAGAACCAATCAACCCAACACTTTTAACACCACAATCCAACATTGTTCCACCCTAGTTAGGAGTGATTATGGAACTCATCCATTATAGCACCCTCCTAACCACAGCAACAACCAGACAATTCACCTTAGCAAACACAAGAACCTGAGAGTAATTGTTAAGCAAGAATTCAAGCTCCCCCCATCATCTACAATCTCTCCTCAATCATACCAAACTGCAGCTACCACCCACACTCTGATTCTAGAATCCTCAAGAACCTGGAAACAGAGTACCTCTCTCATAATAAGGAGCTTTAAAGCTCCTTTTTTGCTAATAGATTTGTTCTTTTTTATAGGTACATTGAATAGCTTTGGTCAATTGATGTTTTTTCAGTGTGTGGTACTAGCATCCCAGATGCTCATTCCACTGAAAATGCACCAATTCACCATAGTCTATCACACCTTTCTCACGCACACACTGCAGTCACCCAATCTTTGGGCATATACAGCAACTAGAACACCCCAACTGATGCCTCACAAGCAATCAGCTTCCTTCACCTCAGTCTTCTTGCATCTAATTCAGCTACAGCAGGCCATCAGCAGTAGACAATCTTTTAGGAGACTCTCCACCGTCCTGATTCACTACAGTAACTCCATCAGCAACAACATGCCATCCACACAGCTAATAAGCAGGAAACACCTAGGGATCCAGACCTAGCCATCCTGCCTAGCAACCCCACCAGTTCCCAGCAACAAAAGTTCACCCTTGGCAATAGTCAAAAGCCAGTTGAAGATCACACGCTAGCTTGGACATATGAAGCAAGCCAATGCTCACTCCTTTTTGTCATCAGCAAGAAGCAGCAAAACTCCAGCCCAATTTATGGGGCCTTTTTGATAGCTATCTTCAACCTAGCTTTCTTTGTACTCAATGTCAAAGCAAGGTTGAATATAGCCCCTCCCAGCACCACATGGTTTTTGCCATATTCCTTAGGGAACTTCTACACTTTCATTAGATATAGTAATGTTTGTATATGGAAGACAATCTTCCAACTCACTACTTTGGTAGATTTAGGATCACTTGTACTTTTTTGTATAGTTGACCTAGGTTTATTTCAGCTTGTTTTTGTATATCTAACTACCTATGATCTGTGGATAGGTAATTGAAACATCATTATAGGTCTAACCCTTCATAGTGTACAGGATCCATTTGGTTGTCATGTTTGGACAATCAAATGCCCTTTCATCTTATTTCTGGAGGTCAGGTTTATGTCCCCCTCCATTGTTGCACTTTATGTTATATATATAAAAATCAACCCTAGGCACAATGCCTGGTGGATTCTGCTAAAAAAATAGTCTGCCCAGGCATATCCTTCGCCACGTGGGACCATCTTTGCAATCGCGAAGAACAACCAAACACTACCCAGAAGAAACCCTTCATGAAAGCAAATCACAACCATGAATGTGATGCACTCAACCTCCAAGCCTACGCGAATGTGTTCATCCCCTTATGATCCCAAAGACTAAAAGCCTGACGCCCCATTTGGACTCCCCTTCTATGCGAACGCGGCTGCATTCACGTGTTCGTGATGACCACTGCCAACCAAAGCTTCAAGAACGCAGGCTCCCTTACACAAATGCGATGAATAATCACCCCTGCCAACAAAATACCTTATGCAATCACGGCTGCCTTCTCGCGATCGCAAAGAAGGAAACCAGACACCAGAAATTAGCAATGCCAAAACATGGAGAAATGGTCATAAACCCATCTGAAACACACCCGAGGCCCCAAGACCCCGACCAGTCACACCATCCAATCTCAAATCGTAACACGGACCTTCTTGAGGCCTCAAATCACATAAAACAACATCAAAACTATGAATCGCACCTCAATTCGAGCCTAAGGAAACTAATGAACTTTAAATTCAAAACTTACGCCGAACAAGTCTAAACAACTCGAATTTACCTCAAATTTTACATGTTAGTCCCAAATGATACAACGGACTTATTCTAACTCTCGAAACTAAAATCTAAACCCGATATCAATAAAGTCAACTCCTAGTCAAACCTATCAACCTTCCAAACCTTTTACTTTTCAACTTTCGCCAAAAAGCATTGAACCAACCTACGGACCTCCAAATCCACATCAGAACAGACGCTCAAGTCCAAAATCACCATAAGAAGCTATTGGAACCATAATACTCCACTCCGGATTCATCTTTACAAAAGTCAAAATCCGGTCAACTCTTACAACTTAAGCTTCCAACCTTAGGACTATGTGTCCCAATTCACTCAAAAACCTCCCCGAAACCAAACCAACCACCCCCTCAAGAAACATAATTATAATTACACATAAGTAAAATATCAAATAGGGAAAATGGGAGTAAAGCACTCAAAATGACCGGCGAGTCGTTACACATATTTAAGTGGATAAAACTAATAAAGAGATCAAATCTGATTCAACTTTATGAGGAAAGGATGTTGCTACTTGGCACTTTTTTCATACCCAATTAAATTGTATATCTAACTGGTAAAATGATATTTAAATAAGGCAAAAT